ATCGAGAGGTATTAAGTTAGCGTATACCCGAATATCCCCAAGGTCGAGTTCACAAGTAGTATATATAGAAGTACAAATCATAGAATCTCCCAACGGTGAGGACACACACAGCATATAAGATAATGCTTCCTCAAATGTATCTAAATTAGGAGTAAATAGCTTTGACACAAAAGAATGGGTAGAACCGGAAACAAACAATACACAAGCAGAATGACCGTGAACCATAAATATACCTGACACCACTGTCGCCGCCTTTTGCACATCTCCGAAACCAATGCAAACACCCTACCTTGTCTCGCGGTGTCATTGTTGTTAGTAGCTTTGACCGGTGCCTTGGTATTGATAGTTGGTGCAGACCTCGTTAAGCTGGTAGCAATCCTGTTGCTATTTTGTTGCTGCTTCCTCTGAGGGAAATCCCTTTTCACATGGCCCGTCTTTCCATACTGAAAGTAGGCTCCAGACTTTCGATAACATATCCCACGGTGCCTCTTTCCACACTCTACACATACAGGAATCGAATCTTGATTAGGGGTAGAAACATTTGAAGTCCCTGAATTTTGTTTCTTATTTGGTGAAGTAGTTGCCCTCTTCGACCATTGACTGTTTTCCCTTTTCCCCTTCCATTCAGAAATTTGGTTTTGTGCAGCGATATTCCCTTCTGCTATAATGGCCCTCTCCAACACTTCCACATAGGTAGGCAGCTTCAACATATTAACTCGGTCCAGAATAGCACCCCGTAATCCCCCTTCAAATTTTCGTGCCTTCTTATAGTCCGTGTCCACCATGTGAGGTGCGAACCGAGCCAACTCGGCAAATTGAGCTTCATACTCAGCAACAGTCTTGTTCCCTTGCCTGAGGGTTTCGAATTCAGCCACCATTTTATCTCGCATACTTTGTGGAAAATACTTATCATAGAATATCTCCAAGAACCTGTCCCATGTCAATCCTTGATGTATAGTTCTCGTAAGCATCCACCATCTCCGTGCCTCATCCTCAAAAGCGAATGCAGCCAATTGCACCTTCTAAGCTTCGGTACAAGGAAAGACTTCAAATAACTTCTCTATTCCCAACACCCATGCTTCAGCTTTCATTGGTTATATTCCTCCTTTGAAGGATGGTGGTTTCATCTTTTTAAACTCTTTGATAAGGGTAATAGTCCGGTCTTCAACTTGGAGGTCTCGTACTGCCGATGGAGGTATCGGTGGTGGTGGCGGTTGTTCTTGTGCCTGTTGCTGTTGCTGCTGTTGTTGCCGTAAGGTCTCCGCCATTTCCATAATCATTCTCTCCATTCTATCCAACCGTGCAGTAGTAGCATCTTCCACATCTTCTGTCCTTGTTCCCACCATTGCCTACACAACAAGCATTTATATACAATAAACATATTTGAAAGTGTTAGCCTTATCAGAGTACTCTTAACGTTGCCATCGATCTTTCATATACTTGCAGGATGTCATGCAATATGCCTAAAACTTTTCTAGACACCCTAGAGCTCAATGGATCCGTGCGTGAGATAGCAACTCGTGCTCTGATACCACTTGTCACGCCCCTAACCTGCCCCTAAAAGTTTGGGCATGACCTATACGGAAACGGACACAAACACTAGTATACATAGTATACGGGGCCTTAGCGGAAGCATTAAAACTAAAATAATACACCAAACTCGATTGAGCTATCTCTAATATGCCAGGATCGTATGCATCATGAACATTAGAATAAATAGTTACAAGCCCAAATTATACATTAAGTGTCAGTTACATACATACGTATACAGTCCCAGCCCTAAGGAAGGGCAATTACAAAAACATTTAAGTCATGCTCAATCAACCTTAATGAGTAGTTAAAATACAAGTTAACATCTTAGCAAAGCTTCACAAAAATGAGTAGTCTCATCTAATGCCCGGACTCAGAAAGGTTGACAAAAAGAATGGACGTCCTGGGTCAGGGCTGACCTCCTTGTTGGTTACCTACAGAAACAGACATATCAAAAGGTGAGCCAAGCTCAGTGAATAGTAATACATAACTAAAGTAATGCCTAACTTGAGTCATAGTAAAAGAATACATATAGATTCGTGGCTTGTCGCCACTTATTGATCCACAAATCATGTCTAAAACACTTTGGAAAGAGATGTGGATATAAATATGAACTAAATGCAACTTCCCAAATGATTCTGAAAATGGATCCCCGCTCGAGCGCCCATTTTGCCGCTCGAGCGGACTGTACAATTTAACAAAAATGCTGGGAGGTCGATTTTTACGCTCGAGCGGAAATTACCCCGCTCGAGCAGACAGCGAAAAGTCTGAAAACTACTGAGAGGTTAATTTTTACGCTCGAGCGGGGGAATTCCCGCTCGAGCGGACCATGCAATTTCTGAAATTTTAAAATTCTAATTAAGGTTCCAACCTGATATCCAAAGCTTTAACCATGTACTTTCGTATTCTAATGCAAGATTCATATAACGAGTCTGAATCTGTACTTATTCATAATGGTCTTAGAACTTATCTTGGGACATATTGGCTTGAACATAATGTTTTGGCTTAAAGCCCTTGTCTAGTGTGACTCAAACTCTTAATCATGGTGGCACAAAGCCCGTAAACATAGTGGCTCAAGGCCCTTGAATAACTTGGCATGGAGCCCTTGAATCATTTGGCATTAAGCCCTTATAAATTGGCATTGAGCCCTAGTAACTTGGCATGAAGCCCTTGTAAATTGGCGTTAAGCCCTTGTAACTTGGCATTAAGCTCTTGTAAATTCTTGTATGAACTCAAGAGGTGTCTCACACGGGTTCTAGCGGTGACTCACGTTGTAGCACTTAGTCCCGTGTAGCACTTTGTTTCATAACGTAGTTACTTATACCGTATGGCCAAAGGCCCATAATCTTAAAGAATGAAAACACTTCATCTTCCTCATTTCTTTATATACACACATGTCAAAACATGAACGTAATTACATAGTGTATGAACAAGGTGCTAATGACAATCATTAGGTACATGTAAAGCATATTACTACTCACAGTGTTGGGACGACGTGCTACTTCCTCCCGGAGTGTGTCCTGCACACATTCAACTTGCACATTAGTTCTTCCTTGCTTTGATAAATTAGGTCCTGATTCGTTACACTTCCATTGAATTTATAACCATTTTAAGATCATAAAAAAAATTATCTAAAAATAACTGAGGGTCAAGCGCGCAAAGCAGAACAAATAATTTTTCCTTCCTTTTCGCTCGAGCGCCCGGACCTCCGCTCGAGCGGCCGTGTCCCTGTTTTGGGGCAGTTCGATTTCAACTTAAAATTCAGCAACACAACCTCATTATACATGCCAATCAAGGTAAAATTAATGCAATTTATTGACCTAACTTTACTATAACATGAATTATCATCTAAACCACACCAAGTAAACATGATTAGTAGCTTCATCACTTTTGCAAATGACCCTATGTTCATAACACATGACATCTTATATATATATATATATCTTCATGGGGTTAGCATAAAACTAAAGATTGAAGTGTAACCTTCACATAACACCTAAATTAGGTGACAAAACAACCAATTGATGAGAAACCTCCTTTAATCAACCATAATTCCTACATAATACAAACCCTAAGTTGTCAAAACAAGAAATCATCCTTCCTTGAGTCCAAATGAAGGTTAAATGGGTTAGATGGAGCTTACCTTGATTTAAATCCCACAACTTTCCTCAATTTGGCAATCTTTCTTGTTGAATTGTGTTTCCCCCCAAATTCCTCTTCTCCACACTCTTTATTTTCTCTCCCAGGAGATGTTGAATGGAGAAGTTCTCAAGTCTTAATTCAAGATATTTCTATATGCTTATATAGATTTGAATAAAGACAAAATTTAATCGTTTAATCATTCCGAAATTGAAATTTCGTGGCCATAATTTACATAAAAATTATGCTGATCACACAAATAAAATCAATTTCAGATAATTAAGCCCCTAAGGCTTCCAATTTCTGATTCAAATATTCTAAGTGTAACAGATACAATTCTTGGAGAACAGATAGACATCCTTAACTATGGATCTCACTTATATACCCTTAATTTCTCTTAGAATTTTAAAATAAACATTTAAAAGTATAAAACAAGGACTGAAAATATATCAGAAAACATGTACGAGGGTCAGGTTATTACAAGTAATATCTATTTCTCTGGCTGTTATGAGGATTTAAGGGCTAGAATCCTTCATATTGCCACTTTCTCTGAGGGTATGCTTCCTGTCTAATACCTTGGAGTGCCTCTCATTACCACAAAGTTGAGAGCCACAGATTGTAAACAGCTGGTTGATAGGATCACTAAGAGGATTAGTAGTTGGACCAATAAAGTTCTATCTTATGCTGGTAGGGCCCAGCTTATCCAGACCATCTTATTCTCTATTCAAGTTTATTGGTCGTCTCTATTCATTTTACCTAAGAAAGTTATTAAGGAGATTGAGAGCCTCCTTAGAGCTTTCCTATGGTCTGGTACTGATCTTAGTAAGCATAGTGCGAAGATTGCTTGGGATAAACTTTGTGTTCCTAAGAAAGAGGGTGGTCTGGGTTTTAAATCTATGGAGGTTTGGAATAAGGCTGCCATTGCTAAACATGTTTGGTTTCTGCTCTCTGGAGGGGAAAAATCTATGTGGTGCCAGTGGGTCAAGTCTTTTCTCATTAAGGGTAAATGTTTCTGGAAAATTAAAACTCCTAGTGACCCTTCTTGGGTTTGGAGGAAAATCCTCTCTCTCAGGCCAGTCATCTTCCCCCTTATTAAACATAGGAATGGTAATGGCCAGAACACTTTCTTGTGGTATCACAACTGGCACCATCTTGGCCCTCTCTGGGAAAGATATGGTGATAGAATCATGTACGACTCTGGTTTAAACGAGGAGTCCAAAGTCAGTAAAGTTATTGTTGGGAGTTCTTGGCATTGGCCCTTTCTCAACTCCTGGGATCTCAGGGAATGAACATCCCAAACTCCTAACAATTGCCTTCCTAACCCCTTGGAGATGGATACTGTCGTTTGGTCCCTCAATCCTGATGGTGTTTTCACAATTAAGTCTGCTTGGGAGTTGTGGAGATACAAGCAGGACTCGGTTCCTTGGTTTAATTTAGTCTGGGGTCATGCTACCGTCCCCAAAGTTAGCTTCATTGTCTGGTTGGCTATCTATGGCAAGCTGAATACTAGTGATAGACTCCAATTGTTTGGAATCCCTTCTAGTCTTACCTGTCCATTTTGCCTTGATTTAAATGAAAGCCATCCACAACTCTTTTTCGATTACAACTTTACATCCAGAATTTGGCATGTCATGCAAGGTAAATGCAATGTTCAATGGCAACAGGTCTCTTGGCCAGAGACTGTTATTCTTGTCAACAGAGAGAGTAAAGGAAAGTCCATGAAATCCATCATCACTAGACTTTCTTTCCTCAGTACCGTGTATCATATTTGGCTTGAAAGAAACAATAGAGTTTTTAACAAAGAATGTAAACCTATAGAGGTTATCATTAAATCTATTGTGCTTATGGTGAGAAATAGAATGTTATCTGTTAGCAACATTCCTATTGCAACAGGTGATGATTGGTTCCTTGATCAATGGAATCTTCCTAGATCCATTCTGAAGCCCCATCCTTACAATGTTGGGAGGGCTGCTGAGTGATGTGAGTGCAATATAATGTGGGTTAAGTGGATGTGAGCCTAATAATGAGTGTCTATCTAATTAGCTGTTACTTGTGTAGGTGTGCTTCTTTGAAGATGAATTTTATTTGTGGGTTATGTAGTCACAATTTCCTTGAACTTCTGTGGGTGGAGTGAAATTAGGATCTATATGTTTTATAAGCTAACCACTATATATATTGTATCTTTTATATGCAGGATAAGGAAGCTTTTTCCGAGTGTGGTGAGATTCAATATTGTGGGTTGAGTGAAGTGAGATAAAAAATTGAGTGGGTCTTACATACTATTTTGGGTATTGATGCTCATGGTCTCTACCTCTTGTTGCTTAATTGGTAGGTCATTCTACTATGTCTAAGTCGATTATTCAATCAATGCAATTTCGGGGATTGTTATCTAAAGTTGCCGTGGGAAACTCCAAAACTATACAGTGCGAGGAATGGATTTATAGGTGTGGCTGCTGCAAGCGCCTTCCAAAAATTGCTAAATGATCAAAAGCTGTCTTTAATTTTATTGTTTATATCTAGTTAAAACCTATTCAGTTTGGCCTACTCTAGTGGGATGTACTAGAGAACAAAGTTTGGTGTGCTATTATTTTTCTAATTGTTGGGTACATATAGCAGATATTTTCTGCACACCCCAGGTTTTGGTTGATGAACCATCGGACTGTTTCTAGATTGGCTGGGTCAAGGTTTAGTGTTGACTGTTTTGGTTGTTTGGCTGCCTTTATTAGTTTTTTGGCAGATCCATCCTAGCTTTATTATTATTTCTTTTGCTCCTTCGCTTGTGTTCAATTGCTATTTGTAATCGAGATAGGTTTTGAACATTGTGTGTACGGGTTTTTTTCTGATTTGTTCTTCGTGGCTGTGCGCTCATTTGTATAGCTCTATAGGTCCTGGGGCATGCCCTTTGTAATCTTTGTATATTTTGCTATTTTATTTATGTCTTATTCACCGAAAAAAAAAAACACCCAAAACCAGGGCTTAATAGATCTGAATCAAACTCACTCACCCGCAGAATCTGGGTAAAGGAGCTAAACAAGCTGCCGAAACAGCACCAGTCCTTCACCACCGTGATACACCACCGGGGGGAGCTTTCTCTCTCTAGAATCTAGAGAGAGGAGCTTTGCTTTCTTCCCCTAGGAGACCAAGTTTAGTCTGAGTTAAGTAGAAAAGGATGATTTAGAATTCCCGTTAATTTTCAACCTATTTACCATTCTTTTCTCAAACTTCTTCGTGGCTGTGCGCTCATTTGTATAGCTCTATAGGTCCTGGGGCATGCCCTTTGTAATCTTTGTATATTTTGCTATTTTATTTATGTCTTATTCACCGAAAAAAAAAAACACCCAAAACCAGGGCTTAATAGATCTGAATCAAACTCACTCACCCGCAAAATCTGGGTAAAGGAGCTAAACAAGCTGCCGAAACAGCACCAGTCCTTCACCACTGTGATACACCACCGGGGGGAGCTTTCTCTCTCTAGAATCTAGAGAGAGGAGCTTTGCTTTCTTCCCCTAGGTGACCAAGTTTAGTCTGAGTTAAGTAGAAAAGGATGATTTAGAATTCCCGTTAATTTTCAACCTATTTACCATTCTTTTCTCAAACATTCTCTTCTAGCTCTCATGACGAAAGTTTTTCTCTCTAACACTCTCCGTACTTCTACATCCCTCTCTATTTTTCTCTAGGAACTAACTAGCTTAGGCAACTAACAATTTCATTAGCTTAAGTGAACAAGTTTCACTCAAACTAATCACGCTCGGCCTCCAAGAAAGAAAATTTACTGAGAAATTGTAGCTTAACGTTATTAGTTTAACTTAGGCACCTTGTTTGAGGTTCTGTAAATCACCTAATTGTAACTTAACGATATTACTTTAACTTAAGCAGCCCATGTAATGTTTTCTAGATCATCTAACTGTTCAATTCTCAACTCCATAACGATGAATTTGAATTCCCCTTAATTTTCATCCTATTTCCCTTTTCTTTGCTCTAACTTGCCCTCCTAGCTCACAGGAAGAAGGATTCTCTCTTACTCTCCCTGTCCTTCTCCATCATTCTCTGTTTTGTTCTAGGAACTAATTAGTTTAGGCAACTAATTGTTTCATTTTCTTAAGTGACCAAGATTAACCCAAACTAATCTTGATTGGCCTTCAAAAAAAAAAAATTAATAATTTATTGAGTAATTGTGGCTTAACGATGTTAGTTGAACAAAAGCAACTGATTTAATGTTACCTAAATCACCTAAGTGTTCAATTCTCAAGTCCAAAAGGATGAATTTCAATTCCCTTTAATTTTTATCCAGTTTCCTTTCCTTTTCTCTAACTTTCTCTTCTAGCTCCCATGGAGAAAGTTTCTCTCTAACTCTCTACGTCCATCTCCAACCACCTCTCTTTCGTTCTAGGAACTAATCAGTTTAGGCAACTAATCGTTTCACTAGCTTAAGTGGCCAAGTTTAACTCAAACTAATTTAGCTTAGCCTCCAAGAAAGAGATTTTACCGAGTAATTGTGGCTTAACAATATTAGTCTAACTTAAGCACCTCATTTACGGTTTTCTAAATCACCCTAGTGTTCAACTCTCAAGTAGAAAAGGATGATTTAGAATTCCCGTTAATTTTCATCCTATTTACCATTCTTTTCTCAAACTTTATCTTCTAGCTCTCGTGAAGAAAGTTTTTCTCTCTAACACTCTCCGTACGTTTACATCCCTATTTCTTTGGCTCTAGGAACTAACTAGCTTAGGCAACTAACAGTTTCATTAGCTTAACTGAACATGTTTAACTCAAACTAATCACGCTTGGCCTCTAAGAAAGAGAATTTACTGAGAAATTGTAGCTTAACATTATTAGTTTAACTTAGGCAACTTGTTTGAGGTTCTGTAAATCACCTAATTGTAACTTAACGATATTACTCTAACTTAAGCAACCCATGTAATGTTTTCTAGATCACCTAACTGTTCAATTCTCAACTCCATAACGATGAATTTGAATTCCCCTCAATTTTCAACCTATTTCCCTTTTCTTTGCTCTAACTTTCCCTCCTAGCTCTCAGGAAGAAGGATTCTCTCTAACTCTCCATGTCCTTCACCATCGTTCTCTGTTTTGTTCTAGGAACTAATTAGTTTAGGCAACTGATTGTTTCATTTGTTTAAGTGACCAAGTTTAACCCAAACTAATCTTGATTGGCCTCAAAAAACAAAAAAAAAAAAAATTATTGAGTAATTGTGGCTTAACGATGTTATTTTAACAAAAACAACTCATTTAGTGTTATCTAAATCACCTAATATTCAATTCTCATGTCCAAAAGGATGAATTTCAATTCCCTTTAATTTTCATCCCATTTCTTTTCCTTTTCTCTAACTTTCTCTTCTAGCTCCTAAGGAGAAAGTTTCTCTCTAACTCTCTCCGTCCATCTCCAACCACCTCTCTTTCGTTCTAGGAACTAATTAGTTTAGGTAAGTAATCGTTTCATTGGCTTAAGTGGCCAAGTTTAACTCAAACTAATCTAGCTTAGCATCCAAGAAAGAGATTTTACTGAGCAATTGTGGCTTAACGATATTAGTCAAACTTAAGCACCTCATTTACGGTCTTCTAAATCACCCAAGTGTTCAACTCTCAAGTAGAAAAGGATGATTTAGAATTCCCATTAATTTTCATCCTATTTACCATTCTTTTCTCAAACTTTATCTCCTAGCTCTCGTGAAGAAAGTTTTTCTCTCTAACACTCTCCGTACGTCTACATACCTATTTCTTTGGCTCTAGGAACTAACTGGCTTAGGCAACTAACAGTTTCGTTAGCTTAACTGAACAAGTTCAACTCAAACTAATCACGCTCTCTGCCATTGTGGGTTGAGTGATGAGAGACAGTATACATGTTTTGCTCTAACATTTATTATATATTATATATGTTTTGTGCAGGTTTATGGAGCTTTCAAGTATACTGTCTATCTTGTTCTCTTGAGAATTCATGTGAGGTGTGGGTCAAGTGATGTGAGGTTCTATATGGAGTGGAATGACATGTTTTATTGTGGGCCGAGTGTGGGGAGGTCTTATACAGTGTGCTTGTTATTTCTGCTCATTTTTTATCTTCGTTACGGTGGTGATTCTTCCAATCCATGGCTGGTAGTGGCTTACGTTATGGTGCGGAGGTGTGGTGACTCCTTCATTCGCAGTTACATGAGGTTGTTGCCAGTGTATTTATATCATGCAGTGGAGAGATGGTGGCTGATTGCTGCACAGGTTCGAGTGGCAGTTGGCAGAGTGTGTATGTACCATGGCAATGGCTGCTTCAAGCGCCTTGCTATGCTACATGAGAGGGAAAATCAGTGGTCTTTCTTGTTATTATTACATAGTTTTAGTTTTGCCTCCCCCTACGGGCTGTGTGGGAGGTTTTGTGTGCATTTTGGTGTATCGTGTAATAGGTTTTTGAGCAACTTCGGTAGGATAAGCCTCTCTTGGCTCCTCCTTATGGTCCTTTTTGGGTTGCTATTTTTGTATGATATTTATTTTGTTACTGGTGCCTATCCCTACAGGTTGTGTAGGGAGGTTTTGTTGTTGTGGTGGTGCTTTATTGGCTGCTGGCTTTGTCTTTTGTACAAAGCCCCTATCCATCACAGGATATGGCTTTTGTACAGACCGATTGGCTAGTAATCAATTTGCTCCCTTGATCTCCAGATGTAGCTCCATAGGCGTGGTATAGTGTTTTATTTGTCTTGTGTTTCTTGGGCTTCGGTGACATTGTGCCGAGGTTCGTGATGTTGTTTTGTTGTTAGGGCCTGGGGTATGCCCCTTGTATTCTTGTAAATCCTTCTGTTATATTTATTTCTTATTCACCCCAAAAAAAAAAAAACTAATCACGCTTGGCCTCTAAGAAAGAGAATTTACGGAGAAATTGTAGCTTAACGTTATTAGTTTAACTTAGGCACCTTGTTTGAGGTTCTGTAAATCACCTAATTGTAACTTAACGATATTACTTTAACTTAACCAGCCCATA